AATCGGTCTGATGGTGCCCACCGTGTCACCGTCCCAACCATCTGCCCGACCGCATCCGCCCGACCTGTGCGCAGCGCGCGTGTCTCCCGGCGCAAGGCCTGGCGCGGAACGCGGGGAGGGCCGGCCTGCGGTGGGGAGGTTGGAGAAGCAGGAACAGGCTGGAAAAGCAACGTGTAGACAGAACTCGAAGTTCAGAAAGAGTGGTAGACACACTACAACAGAGGTGACACAAACACCTCTGGAGAATACATTGGTGGTGGCTCAAAAGAAGGACCACTTGGAGAGCATCTGCAGGGTCCGCTTTTGATCCGGCAAGGGTGGAACAGGCTAGATTGGACCCGGAGCTGCTGGTGTCTTATGGGCGACACCTTCGTTGGTTGCCTCTTGCCGAGTCCTGTTGAAGCATGGAGTGACCAACAGTTCCTGCGACCTCCCGCGCCCTCTCCGTCAGTCCTCTCCCTTTGAGGTGAGCTGGCTGATGAGCTGAGACTCCTGTCGCACTGCTGCCTCAGCGAGGTGAGAACAACACCGTGACAAGCCACTAGTAGCCTCCTTGCTCCTAGTAGCGATGCCCTTTGTTACTAGTAGCGTCCTTGCTCCTAGTAGCGATGTCAGGAGCCCCTAGTAGCGTCCTTGCTCCTAGTAGCGATGCCCTTTGTTACTAGTAGCGTCCTTGCTCCTAGTAGTGATGCCAGGAGCCCCGAGTAGCGTCCTTGCTCCTAGTAGCGATGCCCTTTGTTACTAGTAGCGTCCTTGCTAGCCCCGAGTAGCGTCCTTGCTCCTAGTTGCGTTCGGGGTCGACCTAGTTTGATTTCTCCTTGGCTTTCTCCAACCCTTCCCGTGTCCGTGGTGATGCGGGAAAGAAATACTGAGCGACGCTGGAGCCGGGGCTGGACATGCCAGCACCTTCTGGGTCTGCCACATTAGACCACATGAGGTACACCTCACACATCTTGCTCTACTAGTAACAAGTGCATCGCTACTAGTAGCAAATGGCTAGCTAAGTGCATCGCTACTAGTAGCTATTTGCGACCACTGGGGAGACCCCATGCATCCATCCATGTGTCCTGCGTTGGACGAGCCTCTTCTTAAAGCAAAAACGGTTTGGCACACAAAGCTTCCCTGTTGGAGGGCGAAACTACCTTCACCCGGCATTTGCTTTGTAGCGAGCACCCACGAAGACAATCCTAGGAAGACCAACTCTCCTCCTTGCAATGAACTGATACTGATGCACAACTTAGTTGGTCCCCAAGTACCAGCAGTGCGAGAATGGCCACTCGAACGTCGGCTTCTTGGATGCTCTCAGAATTTCATTGACAGTGCGTCAATGAACTGTGAGTATGTGTGAGTTTCAGGGGTGGTCCACCTACTCAAAGCTTTGACACCCAGCCGGGTGCGGTATCAGCATAGGTGTAAAGGAACAAGTGCATCGCTACTAGATGCTACTAGTAGCTAGAAGCCACTATTGACTAACCCATCCTGGATGGCAATGATAACCGATGCTAAGCACCCAGCCGTGAGCTCCTGGCATGGATGGATGTGTGTTTGCAAACACGAGCGGATAACAAACTGGACCTTGTTCACAGCCCCAGGTGTTTGGGTAAGAACAAGTCATCGCCAGCATGTTTTCGTGGCTTGAGGTTTGCAACAGTCATCAACAGTCAAGAGCAATTCTGGAGCCCGGCATGCCATTTTTTCTTGATGGAATACCGTCCCAAACACGGATGTGTGATCCCCCACTTAGTCTAAGTTGTTTCTTGAGTGCAGATCGATGAAGACCCAGGCATGTTGTTTTATTAGACTTTCTTAGTATTCAGGCAATCTCTTCTAGGTTGGAGGCCATCGCTATTAGGTTGGTTGGAGGCCATCGCTGACAGGTTGGAGTCCATCGTTAGTAGGTTGGAGGCCATTGCTATTACGTGGGAGGCCATCGCTTCTAGGTTGGAGAGCAGAGCGGCCTTTAAAGAGTGAACTACGCCCAATTATTGTTTTGGGGAGGCGTGAGTTCTTCAGATCAGTATCCATCGTGGGTCTGCCAAGGAAAACACAAGTTCTTCCACCATTCCTTGAAAGGTCCTGCACAACTTTCAAGACCCGTTGTGAGAGACACAGCTGTGGAATGTTCTTTTCCGTTTGCGCAGATTGTGATGTTCACTTGTGGAAGTCAGCGTTGACCCCAAGCCATTCGTTTAAACATGGCTTGAAAAGGAACAATGTTGGGATTCTGACGTAGTAAGCAAACTCCTCTAAACCAGGTCAAACGATCACATTCTTCCGGCAACGTTTTGACGAGGCATCTTTACATGCAAGGGACCCTTCACAGTCGCCATCCTGCCTAGCTTCCTGGCACGAAGACTTCCTACCCTACGGAGCCTACCCCCGCCTTTTTCAAGGTCGCATGCTTTCGGGGACTAGGAAGGGATGTGCCGTTTCGTCACCACCGCGTAAAAAAGGAGAGCTCGTCACTGTGAGCGTGCACTTTTTTAAGCATTTCAAGCTGCCAAATCTTGCTGTCTAAAGTTTTCAGCCCATACCAAAGCCAAAACTTCTCATGTGGACTTCCAACAAACAACAATATTTCAATAGAGATTCTATAGCAATCTTACTGATATGCACTAGTGTGTTTAATTAATAGCAACCCACCAAATAGAAGGATTTACATAGCAAAAATATTTATATTCTACAGAACTTGTCCCATGAGATTAGATCTACAGATGGTCCCTCAGCTTTCTTCACTTCTTGTACTTCATGGACTTACTCTTCATGGACTTGCCCTTCATGACCATCTTGTTGCCAGACGAGGGTTTGCCAATTGCATTCTTCGTGTTGGACTTCTTGCCACATAGGTATGAGACAGACTTCGCATTCTTGAAGAGGTTTGGCAGGCGAGTTGGATGCAAATACCGAATGTTGCCACCCTCAATGGACTCGTTGTGACGCTTGGACAGAAGCAACAAGAAGAATTTGTGCCGGTGGGCTCGCATCTCATTGATGATAGGGGAAAAGTTGCGGAACCACGAGAAGACCTGTTCGCAGATCGAAGTGTTCTCTTTGTGAATGCGCTTCTCCAGCTTCTTGCGGTAGCCTAGGTAGGCTTGACTTAAAGAAAGTACGAAACTATACAAAACGACACATTCATAAGGACTAATGCAACAACATGTGCCTCAATAAACTTGCAAAAAATGATTGTGGTCGTCTCGATAGAACAGAATCCATATTGATTGACTTGGTGTTGAAACAAACAGACAGGACACGAGGATTGCAAGGGCAGGTTCGCGAATGACCATGAGAATGAAAACCATCCACGACATAGTAGCCGATCTGATTCAAGGCCTCATTCGACTCCCCACATGACTTGAAAGCGCATGCTCTGTCGTAGACAAGGCAATCCAGTTTGGGGTACAACCAGATGACGTTCTCCACAGCCAGAGTTGCGACCTCGTTGCCTTCAGGCTCATGCATGACCTGCAAGCTGATGATGCGACCGGACTTCGGATCACACGCAAGCATCCAGCCATTGGTGTAGTGCCCGGTGGTGTGCTCAGACTTCCTAGGACGGCCTGCGCGCTTCATTGGCGCCATATCACACTGCATCTTCAGCTTCTGGTTTCCATCAAGGACTAAGGTCTTCACCTGCTGACGCTTGTGTGGAGGAAAGGTAGATGAGTGGCAAAAGGAATCGTAGAGGTAACTCCCTCACAGCCATGTAGTAGAACAACGCAGACGCATGCAGCTTGTCAAAGTTCTGAAGGATTGACTCTTGGGAATCTCCGTGGACAACGTGGTAAGCGCACGACACAGCAGCACTTGAGAGATGACCACGGAACAGAAGTTCTTCATGATACTGGATGTATTTCAAAGAAAAGGCCTTCTTCGAGTTCACAAACAGAATGTTGTCCTGAAAATCCTTCATGCCAAGGACGTTCACCTTCTTGCCTGCTTCCCAGCGATAGTTGTAGCCATAAGAAGCCCGGCAAGAACGGGAAGTACAGTTCTTCTGCACGTGGACGGTTTTTCGAGGACCATCTAAATCGTACAGCGCGGCATCGACGGACAAATGGTAGATGAGGGAACCAGAACAACCTTCACAGACACACTTGAACCTCCCACAGCATCCAAGGTCACTAATGCTGAGTAGGATTGCCTTCGCAAGTAGTAGAAGGTGTACTGGTCAGATGACAACATGTCCATTGCCACACCAGCAGACACCACTGAGGTGACCTCACCATCCTTCTTGAGGAGCAAACCTTCTCGATGCTGCAAGGCAAAGAAGTGCTTCATGTCCTTGTCACGCACGATGTAGCCGCCATCCGGCAAAGACTTTCGACAATGCTTCTGACACAGTTGGACGCCAAAGGGAAGTAGCAGACTATTGCCGTAGGAAACTGAGAATGGGCCATCTTGATCGCAAACCACCGGAAGACCAATATTTTGCATGGCCATGATCAAGCACACATCTTTGAAGCCATTCTGGCAGCCAGGACCTCCATATTCTAAGTCAGGAGCAGCACCAACGCGAGGCATCGGATCTTCGTCATCAGAGGGAGGATGAAGTCCAGGCAAAGTGTCCGGATTGGGAATGTCTTCTGTCCTTCTCTGTCTCTTGTGTGGTGGCGGGGAAGGTGTGTCCAAGACAATGGGCTCACTAGAGGTAAAGGCAAGGCTCTGGAACTTCAAGGAAGGCTCTTCCTTAACGGTCCAACCTGCACTTGCACGATCTGTGTCTACATCCACAGGATCTCCACGTGTCGCTGTGGCCAACCATGCATGCGCATCCGGATGCTCGGCTGGCTCCAACTTGGGTACGCCAACCAAAAGAGCAGGGGCAGGGTGAGGAATTGACAATGAACTCGATGCCGGCCTGGAAGAAGCAGGTGCAGCAGGCAAAGCCCCATCAGCCCGAAGCAACGCATCCAAACCAGGCGTGGAAGTCAAAGGAGTAGCAGGACAAGCTGGCGAAGCAGGACGTACAGGATGATCATGTCGACGGAATAGCTCTTTCAACCATTCAGTCTCCCAGAATAAGTATCCGGCTGAGGCCCACCATTTTTCCAATTCTTCAGGGTTGGCTTGCAAACTGGAAGAAGAATGTCCTTTGAATCTGAGTTGGTCCAAAAAACACGCTGCACCTTGACGTGCTTCTCAGTGGGTGGTCGGAAATAGATGTACTTCTCAGCAAACACGATGAAGGCAGCCCTTTTCAGAATTGCCATAGCATCGGCATTGGCGATGTAGCCCACGGCTGGACGGACCAGCTTCATGAAAGACTCATGGGAGACTTCTGCTGAGAAAACACCATCAACATCGCCTTCTTGACCCTCTGGGTTGTACTGGTTGTCTACAAAGATGCGAAGCTGATGCATCACGAACTTCGCTGCCGTCCACCTGCCCAAGAAAATTAATGATTTACATTCACAGACATGCGTGTCAAGGGAAAACACAGTATGTGGATTGCACATGTGATGTGACATTGCAGAGCCCGGCCTTTCTTTCAGGATGGTCTCAGAATCTCCCACATCTGAGAATGCCTTTTTCTTTTTGATGGTCTCATTACCGATTTCACCATCGTCAAAAATGGCAGGCGTGGCCTTGTCGAAGAAGATGCCACGAAAGAAATCAAACTCCGGGGCTGACCTGAACTGACCATTTCCTCCATGATATCGCGAAAACATCATGGAAAGAATTCGAGCGAGAGGGGTTTTGCCGACACCGGACTCTCCGCGCAGCCACAGGGAATGTCCACGAAGATGAGGCAAGAGATCTTCCAAGATGGTCAAGATTTCTGGCTGAATGGCTTGGATGGTCAAATCATATCTGTCAGACAATTTGGCCAGACATCCGTCATTAGCAAGACAATCAAGAGCTCTCTGAACCAACTTCTCGTTCCAACCATGGATCGGAGAACCTTCTTTTTGGATGTGGCGATGGATCCAGCGCATCTGCTTCAAGTTCTCCTTGTCTCTCTCACCGTTGCTGATGATGAAGTCCCATCCTGCATCCTGTTCATCTTCTCCTTGAGGGGCACGTGCTTTGTTGGATCGGACCTTCTCAGCGGAAAGAGAGAAGTGACGAAACTGATGCCCACCCAGGCACTCCAACATCCACTGGAAGCCACGGCGAGCTTGCTGTTTGTTGAGGGAGGCCCAAGCAATCTCCTTGCCTTGACCACGCACGAGCTTGGCAACATATGCACCCTTGACTTTGTCACTCTTGACGTAGTAATGCTTGAGGACACATAGTTTCCCATTGGTTTGTGGAAGCAAACAAAATTGGGACAAGCAAGAGAACGTGGGGCGTTCCTTCAAGGTAAGTGCTTCAGGAAGCTCTTGCCAAGCCTTGTCTCTGATGATGGCTTTCAGATTGTCCATGTCGATCGAGGAGGGCTCGACATCATAGATCAAATCAACGAAGTGCTTGATTGAAGGAGTAGAGTCCGAAAGCCTGAGAAGCATAAGAAATAATCATGCATAAATATCACATGTGATGGGGTATGGCCTATCGACTTTCGATGACACTTGAAAACAGACAAGAAACTCCTTCAAAGGTAGACAGATCGGAGTGACCGAACCGACCGGTAGAGGGCCAACATGAACATGAGCTGGAAGTTCTCGCAGCGTGAGGTGCTGGGTCGCTGCGATGGCATCGCTCAGGGACATATTATCGCCCTCCACCTCCATGGCCATAGAGTGTTGAAGGGCTCGAAAGATAGCACAGAAGCAAATTGAACGATACAAGGATGACTATGAGCCAGACAGGATGGGCATAGGAAGTTTCTGAAATTGCAAAACTAAAAAACACCAAAAAAAAACAAACTCATGGCTTGCAGACGGTCTTGGGTCCAAAGGTTTTCTTTTTGGTTTTCCTGAGTGCAGTGTCCAAAACCTGTTGAAAAACCAAAAAAACAAAAAAACAGACTCATGGATTGCAGAGGGTCTTGGGTTGGTTGTTTTTTTTTTGCTTTTTGGTTATGTGACACTGAAGACACTGAAGCATTTAGTAGAATACACTCACTGAAATATAGTGTTTTTGCACTAGTCTACTAGATATGCAAGAATACAGTGAAATATTTACAGTTTTAGCGCACGCTGGTGGTAACGTGTTCTGTAAAAAAGCGACCACCGAAGAACGTTTCCCAGGCGAAACCCTAATAGATCCTGATATAGTTCACTTGTCAGGTCCTTTTTCAGGCGACATGTAATTGGCCCTACAGCTCCCGGACACCCTTATATAGGTGCTTGATTCTGTTGCTTGCAAGCATCTACACTCGAAGCAGCAACCATCTGCTTCGCACTTGCTGCAGCTCAAGCGGTGGCACGATTTGGAACGACGTGCCTTTCTCAACCCTGGGAGTGCAGTCGACCATGTTGAAAAAATGGCCTAACTAGGTGATCGCAAGAGGAAGTTTTCCTTACTTCGGTGCCCAAAATGGTCGAACATGGTCGAACTGGACTTCGTTTGGGTCAATGAAGTTCCGTTCTTCAAAGGCCCCTGAGAACTACGGCAATTTGACCGCCAAACAGCTGATCTCGACAGTCTCCAACAGCTCTCCCGCAAAGCCGGATTCACCTGCAAACCCTTGGAGAGTTCTTGGCGCTTGGCTTCCAGAGTTTCCAGCTCCCACCTCGGGGAATCATGGCAATTGCCAGTCAAACGGGCATCATTGTAGACGCTTATGGACACTAGTAGCGATGGCCTCCAACCTATTATCTTATAGACACTCCCAAGTTTGCTTCGACTTGTTGTGCACTTGAAGTCTTTGGGGAAAAAAAACAACATGTGGACATTGCCCCATGGCCTCCCATGCACCACGACATCGGTTGGTGTCCAGGGACCGAGACATCGGCCCGAGTCCCAAGGACCAGCTCCGTTCGTCGCCGACCCTCGTTCTGTTGGTAGCGATGCCAGGTTCGCCCCGTTCGGTTCGCGTCCGAACGCTCCCAGTAAGGCCAGGAGCCCTGAACGTAGCTTCTTGTTTCTAGTAGCGATGCCCTTTGTTCCTAGTAGCTTCTTCGACCAATACCCTTCGAGGTGATCTTTCATGCGAATTTAGTGACACTCAACGAGGCCCGCTCATAAGAATCCGGACCCTCAAAACGTTTCAATTTGAGGGCGGCCTGGATTGCTTACACTTAAGATTATCTTCGCATTTTTTCTACTTCAGTTCTTGTTGCAACTGCAGAAATCACACTGGGCACCAACTGCGTGGCAGCCCGGGCAAAAGCAGGCCCGCAACACCCTCCACCAGAGAAACAGGCAAACGTCATACTACATGGGGAATCAAGGACGCCACCAGTAGCTCCTGGACTGACTACTAGGAGCAAGAAGCTAGTAGTAAATGTTCAAAAACCAAATATTAAAACCTTTTTGGTATCTCCCAGCACTGCACATCACCAGAAGCGGGATGACGATGGTGCGATGCGAGAGCCGCCCAAGGCCACCCCCCAAGAGTATATCAAGCTCTACCTGGAGCTGGACCCTTCAAAGGTCGCACCCTACATCTAGGAAGGGATACTTCTGATCTGTAACCTATATATATATACACCTATAGAACCCATATTAATATGACCTTTGATAGGAAAAGACCATGTTTTGACTCCAAAACAGGGGTCACTCAGGTTCTAGGTATATACGTGCACTATTATACTCGTACCAGCACCTTCCTTCCGGGGTCACCTGGTTGAAAAGCCCCTAGAAAGGATCACCTGCGGATCAGGCACCAGACCAGGAAGGTCCAAGTATACTTCCACCTGGAGGTGACAAGTTCCAACCTCAGAACTCAGGTATACAGCTGGTATAGACTTGGTTCAGGTCCCTTCAGGTCCCAACCACCGTCGTCGGGTCCAGGTACGTCTGGGGCTCCCAGCGAGGCCTCGCTCCTCTCCCCTGACGTCTCTTCGCTTGCGATCGTTTCACGAACGGAGCGTTCGGACGCGATCGTTTCGAGGCTCCTGGCCGTACTACGTTCGGGGCTCCTGGTTCGCTACGAACGGAAAGGAGGACATCTTTTTAAGTATGTCTTTGATCGCTAGTAACAAGAAGAACAAACATAGCCATGGCCTCCAACCTTTCTTCCTAATTATTCTTTGTTCTTTGTTTCTAATAGCGATGGCCTCCAACCCACTAGCTCTCGTCCTGATCAGGGAGATTTCTGCACATTCACCTCTCAAAGATTGACACCCAAGACATCGGCCTTCTGCCATTCTTTGGCATCGCTACTAGGGGCTCCTGGCCTTACTACCAGAAACAAGAAGCTACTAGTAACAAGGGCCTGACTAGGAGCAAGAAGCTACTAGGAGCAACCGAGCCACGGAGGCTCCGAGCGGCGACCCGAGCGGCACCTGGGTTGGGCCCGTGGCTCTTGCGCGCAGCACCTGGGTGGGGTCAACGTGTCCGCCCCAAACGCAGTCAGGTCGTTTCACAAATCACACTGGTTCAACTGGAGGACAAATCAAACCGTCAGGATCTATACCTGGGCCCGACTTCAAGTACGCTTTCAAAATGGAACATGACCCATCGTTTTCACACAGGTGCGACTGGGGCCCCATTTCCTGACGACAAACAAGTAGACCCCCCAACCATCGCCGCCCGAAGCAAGCACGGCAGAGCCGGCAGCCGGCAGCTGGTGGCTCCATGTTCGTTTTTCGCTGGCTCACGTTCTAAGCACCGCAAAGTCTTGAGATCTCTGCGCGTCAAGTCCAGCTCAATTTGGCCCTTCTCCTCAGAGGCCCACAGGCGCTCGTGCTTCCTCGGGAGCACTGCGTTGGCGGCCAATCTGGGTGTGATAGGGAGGGCTGCGTGGGGCTGGTGTTGCTTCTTGGCAGGCTTCATCTTGCTGGGCCTGCCCTAAAGCGCAATTGTTTACTGCCCATGCTCGAAAGGGATGGCTATCATTGTTCTGCGTTCACCTTTGTGCATCTTTGTCTGATGGAAAGCGAGTTGATGAACAGAGCTGCTGTCAAAATTGAATCAACAAATGAATAGTAATATATCATGACCTCCATCCTCATCCTCATCCTGACAATCCCTTCCTCATCCACCTCCATCCTCCACTGTTGCTGCAACTGGGTAGACTTAAAAATACTCCGATTGGATCCTGACCACACCACCGACGAGTTCCTTGACCAATCGATAAAACCATGTGCCACCCGTGCTTCATCCGCAAAACCCATCAAAACCATGATGAAGCATGAAATCGAGAGACCTTCCTGTCTGACCCCCAACAAGGAAAAATAGACATGATGACCATAGACCGGTCCACCTCTTGAACCAGCGGGTCTCCTGGATTGACACCTGCGGTCGCTTCCGGCCGTCCGACTCGTGGACCAACACGTCGTCCGACTTGCAACACGTCCTTTCGCTCCCTCGGATGGCACGTCCGAGCTCATGACGAGTTTCAACATCTGCATCACTCCAGATTGCAGGGCTCCCAGTTGCGACTCCACCCCAGAGCTGGCGAAGACTCAATGACTCAATGACTCGTTCAAGCCAAGTCTGTTAGAACCTGACCTGTGACCCCTGAGATGTAAGTTGAGTGTAAACCTTGGCCCAAGAGTGTCTCTTTCGTGGGTAACCAATTAGTGACCAAGCAACGAAACTTTGAGCGACATCGTTCTGCTCCCTCTAATTGGCCTCCCCATTGAGGACTTCAATGACTTCAATGAATCATGGATAAAACAGTTGTCTTCACATGGCTCTTTTTCGGCTCAAACCGTGCTGTGCGCATCCCGCGGTTCAGCTGCATGGGGATCCAGGCATCCAAACGGTCGCGGGTTTGAAACACCCGGCATGGCAACCAATCCGATAGACCACACGCACTAAAAGGATGAACCAACGCATGGATCATCGCCCAGTTCGGCCGTTTCGCCGCTACCCGTTGGCCTTCGCCTCTCCCATGAGATGCTGCACTTGTAGCTCTTCCGCCGCTCGCGTAACACGGGCTCCACCCAGCGGTGCAGCCACCAGCGCACCGCCCGGCGTGTGCCCGCCGGGCCCAGGCGCACCGGCAGGCGGCGGAAGTGGAGCTGCGAGGAGGAGGGGCTCAGGGACGGAAGGAGCTGGGATTCCAAGATCCAAAGCCTCAGATTGGAGGCCATCGCTACTAGGTTGGAGTAGTTCAATGTGCGTTCTTTTCCCATGTTCTTTTGCAATATCCAAAGCCTGAAAGGAGTTCGACGGCCAAAGACAGGAGCCATGAATCCGTATCGATGAGGGAGGAACTGAAAATAGGATCTGAAAGTCCTCAAAGACCAGATAGTGGTTAGCAGACTCTCTGAACTGGTGGTTGGGGTTGGTTTCCCATGAGCAGTACAGGTCAACTATTGCCCCACCCATTTCCCCGCTACACCATCAAGCTGCACCAGCAACACCAGAAACCAAGCAATGGAACGTGGAAAACAACACCAAGAACAAAAGGGTGGACGGAGTGGCTCGGGGCTGAATGGTTCTTGCGCATTCGGTTTGCAGATGTTGGCCGGACTGACTGTGACTGGCCTTGTGATGAAGCGAGAAAGGTTGAACATGGTTGAACATTTCACACATGAAGAGGAGGAGCAAGTGGAAGAATAATATGATGATCAGGCTGATGATGGCGAAAGAAGACTAAGCACTCTATACAGAGATAGCTTGAGAGATGGGCGGCTCAAACAGAAAGGTGCGCGTTGGGAGGATGGAGCTGAAGAACGAGTTGGGATTCATTTCCGTTCCACTGCTTGGTGAAACCATCTTGGAATCCATCCCCTATGACTCTATGAACAAGAAGCTACTAGGAGCAAAGGGCATCGCTACTATAGGAACAAGGACGCTACTAGGGGCTCCTGGCCTTTACTACTAGGAACAAGAAGCTACTA